CACGTTTTCGTTTATGACTAGCCGCAAATTCTCAAGTATTTGAAAAGAAAATAGTAACCATTTACAAACACACCGCATGAGGTACATTAATAACAACTAACATCTAGTCGACATAAAACCGTCCTAAAAGAAGTGCCTTTTATGTACATACACATCACATGAGCTATGCTATTAACAACTAACACCTACTCGACCTAAAACCGTCCTAAAAGACGTGCCTTTTATTTACAAACACACCGCATGAGCTATATTATTAACAACTAACACGTACTTTGCCTAAAACCGTCATCGTGCATCAAATTAATTTTTGAACAGCTGATTGTTTGGAGTCTGCAATCTGCCAAACTCAGCGAGGGTAACTTAGAACATGAAAGTCAGCAAATCCCGAATACGTACAAATATTGCGATTCAAATGTAACGCATGCGTTGAAGGATAAGTATTTATTCCTTATCAGTACTTGCTTTATGTATTTAATATTAATATCACCACGTGTGGTTAAGAAAATGCAAAACGGACATTGACGTTGACTACCGGTCTTAAACTGACGGTGAAATTGCTTATACATAACAATAATTTTATAAATTTTATCCAAACCATCGATTTTATGTAAACTTTATCATAATTGGCATTTCTCTCTCAGTTTGTTGCACTTTTATTCTGGCAAGAGCTCTGCAAACGTGAGCTTGTCCGATCCGAATTTGATCCTGTCTAGGGAGTTATGTGTTTGTGTGTGTGTGTGTGTGTGTGTGAGTGTGTGTGTGTGTGTGCATTTGTTTATGTGTTTGGCTGAAAGAAACACATCTGTTTATGTACACTTTACAAACGAATAAAAAAAGTACGTAAAGAGATTGACTTTCACGTTTGGAGACCAGGACGGCTTCCTTAAAGCATTTGCAGCACCGGTACATAAATATGCACAATAATAATTGTTTTCTCCAGCAATTATATTGAAAATTCTAAATGTAATATTGTGTCAAAATATGTGTATCTCAAGACTGATATTGCGCTCACGTTGTCAATTATATAGCATTTGAATAAACAAACGAATAATTAAAGCACTTGATGACCTTGGTATTTGTGATTGTTGATGAATCTCCAGCTATAATACTTTTCGATGGCTCTGCCTTGCCATTATTTACTTTTGTGTGCAGCTAATAAAATTGAAGCAAGAGATTACACTACACTACATTTCTATATTAATTCATTTAGGTATCTCAATTCCATTTAAAATCAATTAACTTTCCATAACTTAAAAGAAGAAACAGATGACCATATTCCATTCAATTTATTTTGCTTTTATCTTTTAGCAATGCTTTAACAAATGTAGACAGTGTTAATTGGGTTGCGTTTCTATTCTTCATTTCAATTTTAATTTGGGACACAACATACAAAACGTCAATTTTGGCACTACTTATTCAACCTATTACGACTCAGGGTTTTAAGATGGGTAATAGAAAAATTAAAAAATAACAAACTTTGTAAAATTTAATAAATGATTTTTTTCCTATAATACAAAATGAAAAATGTAAAATGTGGTTACGGTATTGCGATATAAATCCACACAGTACTATACTTTCTAAAACAGTTTCTCATGAATAAAGTTAAGCATAAAATTTAGTGGTATTTCAATATAAGTCCAACACTAGAAGTGTCGATGTAACTGTGATGGAAGTTGTAATCTGGAAGATATGGAAGTTGTGTAGCAACAGTCATTGTTTTAATCACAATAATATAATTCATAAATATAAGCTTTTTTGAATTTCATTATATATCCAAATCGGTATTTCTATTAACGTTATTTTGAACACTTTGTATTGCTGCAGAACAATAACTTTAATTAAATATGCTACATTTGCTAAACACACAGCTGAAGTCATGAATAATCTAAATTCAAACTGCTTTTGGAATATGACTGCGGTTTTGTATTTGATCTCTACAGACAAATATACAGTCAATTATTGTCCGAAAATTTAATGATTACAAGAATGAAATTTACGAAAATAAAAAAGGCGATTTTAAAGAAACCAAGAGAGAAAATTAAAACAACGTGATTTACAGAAGACACTGATGTTAACAGTGACATAAATGGTTTCTCAAATTACACAAGTGTCATGGATGAAGAAGGCAATACAAAACGTTATCTTGGAGGTTTTGCATGCATACACACCTTCACGGTTTGTAATAATATTACTTGTGGTATTTGCATGCACACACACTTTCACGTTTTGCAATAAGATTAGGTGTGGATCTTGCATGCATACACAACTTCACGCTGTGCAATAAGATTAAGTGTTTTTTATATGCATAGACACCTTCACGCTTTGAAATAAGATTAAGTGTGTTATTTGTATGCGTAGACACCTTCACGATTTGTAATAAGATGACGTGTATTATTTGCATGCATACACACCTGCAAGCTATGTAATAAGATTACGTGTGTTATTTGCATGCATAGACACCTTCACGCTTTGACATAAGATTACGTCTGGTATTAGCATGCATACACACCATCACGCTTTGTAATAAGATTATGTGTGCTGTTTGCATGCATACACACCTTCACGCTTTGTAATAGGATTACCTGTGGTATTTGCATGCATACACACCTTCAAGCTTTGCAATAAGATCACGTGCGTTATTTGCATGCATAGACACCTTCACGCTTTGTCATCAGATTACGTCTGGTATTGGCATGCATACACACCTTCACGCTTTGTAATAAGATTATGTGTGCTGTTTGCATGCATACACACCTTCACGCTTTGTAATAAGATTACGTGTGGTATTTGCATGTATACACACCTTCACGCTTTTGCAATAAGATCGCGTGTGTTATTTGCATGCATATACACCTTCACGCTTTGTAATTAGATTATGAGTGGTATTTGCATGCTTACACACTTTCACGCTTTGTAATAAGATTGCGTGTGAAACTTGCATGCATAGACACCTTCACGCTTTGTAGTAACATTACTTGAGGTATTTGCATGCATACAGACCTTCACGCTTTCTAATAAGATTACGTGGGTTATTTGCATGCATACACACCTTCACGCTTTGTAATAATATTATGGTTGGGATTTGCATACATAGACACCTTCACGCTGTGTAATAAGTTTACATGTGGTATTTCATGCATATACACCTTCACGCTTTTTAATAAGATTATGTGTGGTATTTGCATGCATAGACACCATCACGCTTTGTAATAAGTTTACATGTGGTATTTCATGCATAGACACCTTCACGCTTTGTAATAAGATTACGTGTGGTATTTGCATGCATAAACTCTTGCACACGTTGCAATAGGATTACGTATATTATGTGCATGCATAAACACCTTCTCGTTTTGTAATATGTTTGAATCTATTCGAGAAGCTGTAATATTTCACGTGTGTGAGACTAATCCCATTGCTCTCGCAGTTAAAAGCAATACAATTATTTGATCAAGATATAAATATATATGTACCGAAGTTCAAATAAATATATTTCCCAAAACCTTAGCTCTTCACTATCAAAGAAAGTTCTTACCATACGCACAATGCTAGAAGATAATTAACTTTATACTGCTTTAATTTGCATAATTAAGTCTATACTGATTTCATAGTTAACTCTATACTGCTTTCACATTGCATAATTAACTTTATACTGCTTTCACATTTCATTATTAACTCTATTTTCTTTCACGTTTCATAATTAACTCTATTTTCTTTCACGTTTCATAATTAACTGTATACTGCTTTCACGTTCCATAATTGACTCTATATTGCTGTCACGTTTCATAATTAACTCTATGCTGCTTTATTTATTTTTCATAGAGAGAACTTATGGATCAGAACAGACAATGAAAGTAGATCAAAGTTATATCAATAATAGATGTGACTGTGTTTGAGTCAACATACAAAACTGACGATACTTTGCAGACTGTAAAGCAGCAAAATATTGTGAACTTGATGCACTAAAAAAACTTCGGAACTAATATGACTGATGCCTTGGTTTTAAGCAATCACCAGATTAATTTTTACGACAACACGGGCAACCAATACCAAAGAAAGGAAGACACAAATCTTGTAAAAGCATTATCAGAAAATGATTCAAACTCTAAAATTTTTAAAATGTCAAAAAAATAAAAAAAAAAGGAAACATCCGTACTGGATAATAACTGCCGTTTTCAAAAGTGTTTAATTTTAATTATGAGATTGAAAAAAGATTCAGATTAAATAAAACAACTAATTATCTCCCAAAAATAATGGAAAAATATAACTGAAGAAGTGCAACATGCTCTAAATTGTCGGAACATAAAGTACTATTGATGACCTATCGAGAGTCTCTTTTAAAGGCAACAATAAATATCATGTTACTATTAGTGTCTCTTTTCAATTAGTTATTTGATCTCATATACATCATGTAGTGCTGGACACCAGCTGTAATCGAGGTCATTGAAAAAGGGGACTATTGATATGCCTGACAATTACAGAAGGACTAGACTCTAACCTGTCCTCATCAAAATATTAACTTAAAAATTCAATGAGGGACTAGCGAAAATGGGGTAAAAAGAAATGATTGTCTACGTGAAGAGCAAGCTTTTTTCATACTTACCCTGCATATTGATAAGTACAATTGTGGTAAACAAAGAGGTTCATTTTTATTCTCTTTTAGTTGATTATAATGAAAGCGTTCAAACATATTAGCAGGTGTTTACTTTATCGAAAATAAGTAAACGAAACTACAAGCAGTATAATGCTTACGATATTGAGAGCCATATATGCAAATCTCAAACTTGTTTGGAAACGCCAAATAGTTTCATCATCCGGCTGAGGTAAGACAAAGCTTAATTTTATCACCAGCATATTATCATTCTTTCTAAATGATTTTAAACCACACACTTTTTGACCAGAGTAAGGGTGTCATATTATAGTTGCCAAATGATGTTGCAGCTGTGCATAGCTATTTTTCACTTACATTTTTGACATTAAAAGCCACACTCCTAATGCTATCCGCTCCGGTGGCCTAATGGTTAGAGCGTTCGCTTCGAATGCGGGAGGTCGCGGGATTGATCCCGGACCGAGTCATGCCAAGGATATTAATATGGTACAAACAGCTGCCTCGCTTGGCGCTAAGCATTAAGATGTTAGAGTTATGACTGATCGGCCTTCTGTCAGGATAATGTAACTGGGTGGTACATTATGCTACATATCTGTGTCATGATGCGCCAGTGCAAGGCATAGCAATAAACTTCCACACTGCAGACATCGTAGCGTAGATATATGACAAAAAAATGTGTTAAAGCTACATCATAACTCCAAATTTAAATGCTTTTATCCACTTTTGGGTTGTGTATAATACCAATGCAAGCAGTTGTTGTAGGGTTTATCACCATTTTTAAGCTTGCTATATCTGGCAGCCACTATACATGTATACAGGAAACATTATACTTCCCTAACATACGAAAATGCAAATGTGGTTTTGTCTTCATTATTTTATTTGTTAAAAGTCAAAGTTATTAGATGACAGCTGGTAAGAAGACTTGCTACTAACTAAAATGATAATTTATCCTTTAGTACTCTGTGCATACTTTAGTGCTCTGCGTGTACTTTAATACTCTGTATGTACTTTAGTACTCTGTGTGTATTTTAGTTCTCTGTATGTACTTTATTAACCTGTGTATACTTTAGTATTCTGTGAATACTTTAGTGCTCTGTGTGTACTTTAGTTCTCCGTGTGTACTTTAGTGCTCTGCGTGTACTTTAGTGCTCTGTGTGTACAAGGGGATAAAATGATGATATATTTATTTATACTGATATCTGGATACTCTACCAAAGTATTATATCAAGCTAGCAAAGGAAGAAGCATATACAGTACTAAATAATAATGTACATAAAGTTTGGAATAAAAAGAACCGGAGTTCTATAACGTCAAAATGGATTCCGACACATCAATGGAGTTGGAGAACATCAATACTGCATCACTGAATCAAATTTTCCTATAAGCAAAGTATACAATTTTGTTTGCTTAACCATGTGATTTTGTCAGCCTTTTCAGCCTGACGTAGCTATTAATCATTGTGTGATTAGTCATTCATAAAGGCAGGTTAGTATGCTTGACTCACAGCTGAAAGGATGTGAGTTCGAATCCTATAAAATTATCTTCTAGCTAGAGTAGTATACAGTGTTACCTCGTGTGGCAGAGTACCTCAAACCAATTGTTGCCATACGAAATAAACTACCTCTGTTGTAACGCTCTACAAGAATGACCAGACTCAAACAAGGTAAAATTATCTAACTCAATATTTGGTACAGTAAAATAATCTAGTAATCTACTACTCTCAACACGAGTCAAAACGTAAGTCTTTCTCTGTATATTTTAGGTATACAGTACGAGAAATATCACGTAGTCTTGTTGTCTTGCGTGGAACATAATTGCGTCCGTTCAAAACCATATTCTAAGTACTTTTGTCCAGTGGATAAAAATGCAAGCATGGTATAAAAATAATTTTTTTCTGTAATTGATTTTTTTGGGCTCCCATATCATGCATATATATATATATATATATATATATATATATATATATATATATATATATATATATATATATATATATATATATATATATATATATATATATATATATATATATATATATATATATTTGTGTGTGTGTGTGTTGAACTTCTGGTCTTGACCCACCCAACTTTGTAAACTTGACTTACTAGTTTGATTCAAGGTAATAATACTTACATGTATTATACATACCATTGAGAGTAAAGGTGGCTAAAAGCCGAGTAATTTTTAAATCTTCAAATAATTAATATGTTATGCCGTAGTTTGTGCAAACATTCAGACCGTGACAGCTAATATAAGACCACATTTACCTTCATATGAACTCTATTTCATAGATCAGTAATTCGGATAAATGACTTGTTACAAAGAAAAGATGTTGACTAAAATTTGTCGAGTTGTCCTACTTGGAACTTAGTTGCGTCCGTTCAGAACCATATTCTAAGGTTTGCTTCAAGACTGATGTGATCCTACAATATTTCCTAAAGTCTTCAGGGTCACAAGCACTTTTGAGATCCGGCATGCATATAAATGAAAATCAAAGCCAATGTGGGCAGGACGAGTTTAATAATAATAATAATAATAATAATAATAATAATAATAATAATAATAATAATAATAATAATAATAATAATAATAATAATAATAATAATAATGATAATAATAATAATAATACTCAAATAATATGCTTTTAATCGGCACAAATATGTTAACAAGTATGTGAAACAAAATCCATCATGGATATATGCGTACATAAGCATTACTCTCGTGTCTTTTAAAGGTTTTTTTGTGCAGACCCTTCAATACAACATCGTTTCAATTACGATGAACTTGGTTTTAAGGCGGTATACTCCATTGAGTTTATGGTCATAATTTGTGAATACTGTAATTGGTTTTTTAATATCAGCGAACTTGATTGGCTGACCGCCAAAAGAAGCTCGAATAAGCGACAACTTTGTGACAATATAATGGTACTTTATTTATTGTTTCCGCATCTTATGGTAGTATCTGAGAGAAATCTGTATTCAGTTTGCTTCCCTAATGCTTAAAGCACAATGTTTAACCTTTTTGCGATGGTGAAGACTGATTTGTTTCAATAGTTTTACTGGTTTGTTGGTTTTAAAATATTTACGGAATTTCGTCGTACATTGATTGGTAAATAGAAAATAACACAGAAACGACTGAACATTAAATAGTGCTGTTTGCGGAGAAGTCTTTCCTTGTTATCAAGATTTTTGAAATAAATGGTTGTAAGCTTTTATGTATGGAGTAGGGGTTGTTTTTTTTACATTGACTGGTGTGAATGTATTACGGGAAGGAACGAAAGAGAACAAGAATTCAGAATTGTAATATTTACAAAATCTGGTGAAGTATGAGCCTTTTTTTGTTCAATATAATAACGAGATGCATACAATGTATGTTCTTTTGGTGGGGATGGTGTAATTAAAATGTAGACTACGGGAATAGAGAATTGCATAGAACCACGAGGTGCAAATAGTGCTATATGCTATTTGGGTTGGTTTAGTGTAACTAAATATTGATTATAGGAATAGTGTGGGGTTGAGAACCATGCGATACTTACACATTCTGGCCAGGTTCGGATGACGACGTACATATAACTTTGAAAAGCAATGATTAAATAATTTTATGTTATTAATAATTTATGTACCACACTGAAAATATCTTATACTACGTTCTTGTTATAGGCACATTCGTAATGAAATTTTGTATTCAGTTTTTTTCTTCATTTATTAATTTCTACTGTTCAACAAAAGCGTATGGTGCTTTATGCAGAACGATAGAAAACAAGTTGAAAGAGTTCAAAAGAAATCTGTCCAAAGGTATTTTATTAATGGTTTTGAGTAGGGTGTATCTACTCTAGTCATGCCTTATTTATTTTCTTTAATCGGGTTTGAGTCATTGAAGAATGCTTTAGAGTGACTTATTTCCCTTTGTGTATATATATATATATATATATATATATATATATATATATATATATATATATATATATATATATATATATATATATATATATATATGTGTGTGTGTATATATATATATATACACACACACACACACACACACACACACACACACACACACACATATATATATATATATATATATATATATATATATATATATATATATATATATATATATATATATATATATATATATATATATATATATATATATATATATATATATATATATATATATATATATATATATATATATAAATCCCAAACAGCATCATAGGTGTATAATACTATGTTGTTTTCTAGTGGAAGTCGCGGTTACTAATGTGGGCAGGCATAGTCACAACAATAGCATAATCAGTGGTTAGATGAAGCTACTTTTGAATCTTCTCGAGTCTTTCCTCTCTCCCATCCAAGTTCGACGATGCAAAATAGACCCGAAGTACCTTGTTGCATGTCGTAAGAGGTGATTCAGAAAGGCAAGAGTCGTGATGGAGTAATGATTTATCCTGCAGAATTCGCGATCGAAAGGGCATAGGATCGAATCCCACAATCTGATCACCGCAGGTCAGCTACTGTGGTGTACCTATGACATTTTACTCAGATTTTCAAGTTTTTAAATGAACTGCTGCTTTGTTGTGCCATTTAACGTCAAAGCAAAGAATTCTCTCCAGTCCCACGACGATTTCATGAATCCAGATGTGAGAGGCCTTACAACAAAATATGTTGTTGTTGTTGTTGTTGTTGTTGTATGGTTTAACGTCATTTTTCAGCACAAGATAAGCTATAAATGGGGGCCAGTACTAATGGTGGAAGAAAAACCCTGGAAAACCCAGGGAAGAACCACCGACCCACGAGAAGCTACTTGCAGGCTTGCTCACTGAAATTCTAAGTATTTGTATATGAGCTAAAGTAGTAGAGGAATACAAGGTTATCAGCTCGAACCCTTATTTTACCCCTCCAAACAAATACATACTATGTCCTAAACTCTACCCCCACCCTTTTTTTTTACAAAAGTATTAGTAAGGTTTTTAGCTCACCCCCTCTCTGTTATTGCAGTGTTAGTGAATTCAGGTAGAGATGTGATCGGTATCCAGGTAAGCTTACAGAAGCTCTGTCATTATACCACAAAAGGTGGTAGCCTACCTACCCTGTCCTGTATTTTTATACATATCCAGGTAGTGGTATGATGCCACGTGATCGGTGAATCATCCACAAGGATGCGTCATACAGAGGTTGTCGAATTTGCTAGGACCAATGAAATCTCATAATATTCACACGTGATCGCCCGTGTATAAAAGACCTGTAGATTCTTAATTGCGCAGTAGAACTGGCCTTCACCAGGTAGACAGCTTTAACCCAAACGGAAATTAGAACGAAGCGAGAAAGGTAAGTGATATTATTTTATACCTCATTACCAATGATTAATGTTTCAACTGTTGATATTTGATTTTACTACTGTAGCTATTTGTCACTGTTAAATTTTTCAAACATTGTTTCTTTTGCTTTGACGTTAAGAAATAATAAAT